GCCTGCGGTCACACGGGCCTCCATCAACGGAGCCAGGAACACCACCGAGATCAAGGGATTTGTAATCACAGGCGCTTTTTAGTGGATCTTGAGGACCAAGAGGGCCACCAGAGCATTTATGAGATTCTCCCTCGTCTTTCCAGAAAATCAGGTCCCATTTGTCATCTGCTCTACCAAGGTGCAAACAGACCTGCGGCGGTCCTGTGTTTCCTTCTCCAAATGAGGAGCTGACTTTCCGGGGCGGTGGGGGAAGGGAGCGGACCTTCCGGCAAGCCGAGACCTGGCCTCGGAGCACCGCCAACCGCCTGCACCGTGGACATCGCCTGCGCTTTGCCCCCTCCAGCCCCAAGCTTGCTGGCTCCACTGCACAGACGGGGAAACCAAGGCATGACGAAGGTGTGCCCCCAGGGTCAACCGGAAGCCAGCAAATGTCAGCGTCAATAGATGTGCAGACCCCAAGAGTGCTCGGTGCCACCACCATGGTGTGAACCGCCTTTCGCGCCTTTCCTCAGGTACATACCCTCCGGGTGAGTGGGGGGTGGGCCCTGTGGTGTGTGCTGGCTTATGAAACGTTTGTCCCACAGGTTCTGTGCCTCAAGGGCTCTTGTGAGGCTGCGGTCAGGCCGTTGCCGGGGCCATGGTCCCCTCCAAAGGTCTGCCAGGGGGGATCACTTCTGAGCTGGCTCACGCATGCGTCCCATTTCTGAGATAAAAACGGAAGCTTAGCGAGGTTAAGCGTCTGACTCAAGAAAATACAACCTAAATAGTCAGGGTCAGGTGCACTTGTCTCCCCCCACCCCTCCCCGCAAGGAGGGTGCAGCCAGGGGACGGCTTGCGCCTGTCCAGGTGGGGCGGCATTTGCAGTCTCCAAGGGAGGGGACCTGCGGCCACTCCATGGATGGATGTCGCTGCGTGGAGTCCTGGCATGGCCCGGCGGGCCCGTTCCTGACTTCACAGATGTCCCTTGGGCCAGGACGGGACATCTGCCCAGGGTGTCCTACTGATGTCTGGAGCAGGCGGGACCCAGGCCGGGTTTGCCAGCTGAAAGCCCTGTTTCTCTTCTCCATCACTCAGCTCGCTGCCCGTCTCCAGCGGCTGGAGCTAGCACGCGGCTGTCACCGGGACGCAGTCAGCTGACGACCCTGTGATCCCCACTTTGTGGCTGGTCCCGAGTCCTACCTGTGGGGTCCTGCCTGTGGGGTGAGTGGGCCCCACTCACCAGCTGTGTGAGTTCGGGCTCCCTGCGTCCTCTCTCCACCCTTCACTCTTAAGCGGGTGAGACCAGAAGCCCTACCTCCAGGGGGGCTTTGTGGACAGGTGGGGTGACCCATGTGAGCCCAGGCTGGGGCATTCTCATCCGTCGTTAAGCTAGTAATGCCGTTGTGTGTGTGATAAGAGTCGGGGATCCAGGGCGGGGAGAGAACCAGGCGAACCCCAGCCCGCCACTTCCTGGGTGAGCCATTGCTGTCACCAAGGAGGGGCGGTCACAACCACAGGGCCTCCGGCCTCCCCATGGGGGTGGCCCACAGGGGACCCAGAGCGGGTGACCAATATGGTCTCTGTGCTCCGTCTTCTGGTTTTCCACTAGAGGGCAGTAGTGAGTAGGAGCCGTCCCTCTAGGTTTGGACAGACATGGGGACATGGGACCTGCAGAGAGCTGGCCTGATGTCTGGATCTGGACGGGAAATACCGAGGCCCAGTTGTGCGGGGCATTCGTCCCAAGCCACTCGGAGAGAACCGCCCCCCAGGCTCCCCGGGCTCACCCGTGGGCTTGTTCACAATGGTGTCGGGGGCCTCCAGCCTGGGGCCACTGAGGCCACCGGCTCCAGGAGCCCGAATTTCAAGTCCCTGCTGCATCCTCGGGCTCACAGACCTGCTCAGATCCGCCTTCGTTCACAAACCTGGTGCAAAAGACGGTCTTCATTCTCAGGCTGATCGCTTTCCCTGATGACAGAAATAATCACCTTCAGGTTACGTTGTGAATGTTGTTTTCTCCAGTCTGACTTTGCTGCTTCCTCTAAAGAGCATTTTCAAAAGCAAAAAGGGGCTCCAGTCGTCCGCGGTCCGCCCCACCCCGGAGGATGCTGTGGAGAATGTCCTCCTGGGCTCAGTGACGGGCCAGCCAGGACCCAGCACCCCCACCCCTCCACTGAGAGTCCCCAGCCCCCGCACAGGGGCGTGGGGAGGACAGCCCTGTGGCCCCATCAGAAGCACCACACTCCGGCTCCTTGGGGCGTGCAGAACACCCTTTCAAGTGTACAGGTGGTTGTCCCCCTCGTGGTCCCCTGTTCCCGGCCTGTTTCTGTCTCGCTGGCCGCAGGGAGCTCAGCGCTGTGTATCCCACAGGAAAACAGGTCCGTGCGGCCCTTTCTCCACACACACGCTCATTTCCTGGGATCTCCTGGCTTCTGTGCATCTCCCTCACTCCGATGTGACCACATGGGCCCTCAGGGCTGCCCCGTCCAGTCGTGTCCCCTCGGGGGACAGGTGGCCGGGCCAGCCCTTTAGGGCCCTGGCTGCGGAAAGGTGCCCTTGGCTTTACTATTAATAAGCAGGATTTCTAATATGGTCTGTAAAGGACAGAGACAATAAGTTTAGGGCTTAGGTGACTTGTTTTCAAGGGAGTTCTGGGCCCCCTGGCGCCTGTGCCCGAGGCGAGACGGCGGCCGGCCACCTCATCCACACCAAGGAGGCCCTGGGGCTTCTTACACGTGTCCTCAGCCCATCAACACTAGGTCAGAGGGCCTGTGGGACACCGCTGTGTCGCCGACAGAATTCTCTCTCCAAGAGCGAGGACAGGCATTGCGCCACCCCACACGGGCCCCTCAGCCAGGACCACGCACACGCAGATGAGGAGGAGTCGTGACCCCTGCGGTCTGACCCACAGGGCTCCCAGCACAGACACTTCCAGCTTGCAAACAGGGAAACTGAGGCCCAGAGATGGCTGTGTATTGTCTGTATGGAGCCGGGATTAAAAACACAGGGCCCCTGGGGCGCCTGGGGGCTCCGTCGGTGAAGCGTTCCGACCCTTGATCTCGGCTCAGGTCGTGATCTCTCAGTTCGTGAGTTGGAGCCGCACGTCGGGCTCCTTGCTGTCCGTGCAGAGCCTGCTTGGGGATTGTCTCTCTCTCCCTCTCTCTCTCTCTGCCCCTCCCCTGCTCTCTCTCTCTCAAAATAACAATAAACATTAAAAAAAAGTACAGGGGCCCTGACCCAGTGTGGTCCCGTGAGAGAAACTGCGAGGCCGGGGTAGGGGGTGGGCAGAGCTCCTAGACCCCAAGACTCCAGCAGGGGGAAGTCCCACAGTAGGACCCCTGCTTGCAGACTTTCGGGATCAGACTGTATCCACATTGCTGTGTGGCCTGGGGCCTTTATTGTTCCAGCCGGCAGCAGGCCCAGGGCAGACCCGGTGGGGTGCTCAGAGCCTTTGAGATCAAAGGCGTGAGTGGGGTGCTGGCCCCCTGCAGGCCCTCACCCTCACCACCTCTACGCCCCTCCGGGCTGGTGACCGGCATCCTCCCCTGGGCACCGTCCGAGAGCTTGGAGGATCCCCACGGGCCCCAGGACGCCCGACAGGTTCCTGGGGACTGAGCCACGGGGCTTGGCCGCTGGGCCCCCACTAGGCCCGGGAAAGTGGGGTCACAGCTCAGTCCCTGCAGGATGCCACCTAGTGAATCGGTGGAGCCCCCACGTCACCGTGGGCATTGGGAAGCTCCCCAGCCCCGAGTGGGCCAGGCGGAAAGCCGCCTCATGCAGCCAGGCTCTTGGAGTTTCCGGAACAGCCGGGCGTCTGGCTTCCTCCTGTGATCTCTACCCCCTGGATCCTTGAGAGGAATTCAGAAGTCTCTAGGCTGCATGTGCTGAGGGCAGCTGGCGGTGGGTGGCCCTCACAGGGGTGGCAACTCTGGGACCCAGCCGTCCTCCCTGGAAGGAGCCCCGTCCTGGGGCAGCACCGGACACACAGACAAGCCCGTGAGGCTTTGCGGGAAGGTCTCTAGACTGGACAACGTCGGGGCCGCCCGGCCGGTGCCATCGGCTGTCAGCCAGCAGGGCCGTGCAGAATCCTACCCCGCGCTCTCGCAAAGCGGAGAACTCCTCAGACACTGCCTAGGTCATTCGTTCACGCGTCCCCATGGGTGACGAGGACGGGCACTCAGGCCCCACAGCCCAGTGTGTCCCGACTCCTGAGCCAGTGACTCCCTGCCCACCTCTGCCCGTGACAGCAGGAATCACCTCCCGTGGCCGAGAGTCACCGGGATGCCTGGTGAAAATGCACAGCTGGGGTGCCCGCCCCCAACAGTCTCGAGCCACTTATGCTCACGAGCACTGACGAGGTAGGGCAGGTGTCTGCCTCCCTTGGTGGTCAGGGGTCTGCGGAGGGGCCGGGGCCGGGAGGGTCAGCGCCCACCTGTTGCTTAATCTGAAGGTAGGCGTGCCCTTTGGGGACACGGGTGTCAAAGGTCACTTGGGAACTTGTTGAAAATCCAGATTTCTGGGCCGGACCTTGGAGTCTAGACTCCAAATTTAAGGACACGGCAGGTGACTCATCATGAGCAAATATGGGCTTCTCTGGACCCCACACGAGAGACCCTGCCCCCCTTCGCTGACCCACTGCTGACCTCACGCTGGGCCCGGCACACAGTAGGTGTCCAATAAGTGTTTGCTGAGTGCCCGCCAGCTGCCCCCAGGCCCAGCTACAGGAAGCAGGGCCCCCTGGAGGGGCGAGCTCTCTTCAGCCCAGCTAAGCGGTGGGTTGTCCCCGCCCCCTGCAGCCGTGCAGAGGGCCAGGCCTCCCTCCTCCTTGAGGGTCCCCCCCCCACCTCCTTCCCGCACACCAGGCCTGGAGCCTGCACTTCCCCCCAGGCCACCCCTCCCCTCCCAGCTCGGGAATGCTGACCGGGGACTTCGGAGCAGATAAGGAGGAGGAAGGTCAGGGGGGAGGAGACTCGAGAGGCGGGCCGTAGTCGTGGGCGCGACCAATGACCTGGGCGACTATCGGGCCACCTGATTGGAGCCTGGGGGCCTAAAGCGTGTGCATCCTGCCCCGGCTGGACCCACCGACCTGTGGGGCCCGGGACCAGGAGGCAAGTGTCCGCGCGGCAGCCGCAGGTGAGACCCCCACGCAGCCTCCCTCCCTCCCTTCCTTCGCTGGCAGCGTCTGCCCCCTGGCAGGGTAAGTCCCCAGCCACTGGGCTGGATCTGCCCCCGGAAGGAGCCACCCCTACGAGGCGGCAGCCCCCGGCCTGCCTCCGGCTCACCTGTCTGGACAGGTGGGGTCAGGGGAGGGCGTGCGTGGGGCGTGCCCTCCAATCCCGCCTGGTCGGGGAGCAGCAGGGCGGGCGCTGCTTCAGGCCGGGATTCAGGTGGCCAGGGAAAGGCCAGCCTGGTGTCCCCACGCCTGAGAAAGGAGCTGAGAGCCGGCAGGTGACGCTGGATGTTGTCGCGGTGGCCACTGTGAGGGGGGCGGATGTGCCTGCCCCCAGGTTGGGGCCCCGGGAGGGCTCAGGAGACAGTGGGCCCAGGGGTTCTGATCCTGGCCCAGCACCTGGGAGCTAGTGACCCTGCCCCTCTGTACCTCAGTGTTCCTGTCTGTAGGGTGAGAGAGTCACGGGGGCCCCGTGCAGGCCCACACTGGGTCAGCGGCCTCCGTCTGTGCTGATGACCATGGAGAGGAGCCACAGCCCTGGGCTGGTGGCAGGGGCCGGGGTCCTGGCTTTCCCTCGCCCTGGTGCGGCCCTACCTGCCTGGACTTCAGCACCCTGCTCTCTGTCCCCCCTCTTTCTCCAGCCCCCATCTCAGCCCCCAGGGGCCAAAGTCCCTGTCGCCCCGCCGGCCCCAGGGGCGACAGCTTTTTCAGAGGTGGGCCTGAGAGAGGCTTGGAGCAGGGAAGGGCCGTGGGGAGAGGAATGGGGCCAGATATGGACGAGACCAGGGAGGGGCCTTGCCCCCACAGTCCTGCGACCCCCGCTGTGGACTTGGCACAGGCTGGCCGGGGGGAGGGACCCCTCCGTGGCCCCAGGTGCTGCTCTGCTCTGAGCCTCAGTTTCTGCACAGGCACAAGGACCCTTGCGACCGTCCCCCTCCCCAGTGGCTGCAGGGTTCTCGGGACGGACCGTGAGGGTTCCTCCTCCTTGACTCACACGGAGAGGCCCGAGGCTCTGGGTGCCGCAACATGGCCGAGACCCCTGGAGGGTAGCGGCTGGGCTAGGATGGGCCGCCCAAGGCCTGCCTCGGTGTCCTTGAGCCCCGCTGAGGGAGGTGCAGGTGCGGCGCTGGGAGGCTCCTGGGCTGGCCCAGGGCCACAGCAAGTGGACCTGGGACTTCGCCCCAGGCAGTCGGCTGCAGGCCCGGCTGTACCCCCAGTGTGTGTGGGTCTTAATGGTTCCCTCTCCACCCGCATCCTGGTGTTCCACCTTTTTCACCTTTCAGAACAGTTTTAGATTTACAGAACCACTGCCCGCCCAGTCTCCTTGACCATTGACATCTTACACTAGAAGGGTGCGTTTGCCTCAGCTGGTGCACAACTATGGGTCCATTGTTCTTTTTTTTTTAATAAACAAAAATTTTTTTGAGAGAGAGCAGGGGAGAGGCAGAGAGAGAGGGAGACACAGACTCCAAAGCGGGTCTCCAGGCTCTGAGCTGTCAGCACAGAGCCCCATGCGGGGCTCGAACCCACGAACTATGAGATCATGACCTGAGCTGAAGTCGGACACTTAACTGACTGAGCCACCAGACTTTATTCTTAAGTAAAGTCTATCCGTGGCTCGGATTCCCTTAGATTCCCCCTTAGTGTCCCCTGCCCAGGAGCCCGCCCAGGACATCACGTGATGCTTTGTCCGCCCATCTCCCGGCTCCTCGGGGCTGGGACGGTTCCTCAGACTTGCCGTGTTGTGACGATTTCTGCGACGGGTCCCGGCCAGGGGTTGTGTGCGAGGTCCCTCGGCCCGGACTCGTCTGATCGTCTCCCGTGCTTACACAGGGATCGCGGGTCCCCGGGAGGAAGACCGGGGTGGTGGCGTGCCCTCTCCTCGCGTCCCGTCAAGGGCACCCGCCGTCACCGGGATGCTGACCTTGACCCCCCGGCCGCGGCCGGGTTTGCCGGGCTTCCCCACCGCACGGCCCCCTCCCCGCCGTCCCGCGCTGCGCTCTTAGCGGGAGGTCACGGCGCTCGGTGCCCACCTGAGGACTGGGGAGGGGGCCCCCCTCCTCGGGGGTGGTGTCTCCACGTAAATCCCTGGAGGTTCTTCTTACGGGGAGAGATCTGTCCCTTCTCCCTCCTTTATGTATTTGCTCATGGATTTATCCTGGATAGACTCATGGATATCTTGTAATGTGGGTTCTAATCTGATACTAATTAATTTTGTTGCTCAAAGCTTTCTAGCTTTGGCCATTGGGAGCTCTCTCAGTGGGCTCCTGTGTCCCCTCGACTCACCGCATCCTGGTGGTATTTCATCCATTCGCTCACCCACTCATTCACTTCCTTCCTCTGTGGCGCCACAAGCCAGGCCCCACCCTGGCCCTTTGCTGGCCTGGTCCTAGAGCCGGCCGTTTCTCCAAGGGTCCTGATTCCCTCAGTTGGAGGGTGGTCTTAGGAACCAAGATCTGTCTGCACTCTGGGCATGCTTGCGGCTACCTAGGTCTTCTCTTTTTCACACAGATCTGCAACTATGAGTGTACTGACCCGTGCGTGTGCACGTACCTGCAACTCAGCGCGTGCGCGTCTAACCCGTCTACGTACGCGGGTCTAAGTACTTTGCACACACACCGATGTAAGCAGTTCCGTATGCAGAATGTGTCTGTATTAACTGAGACCTGACATCCCCGCCCGTCATCCATCACCGTATGGATTCTTCCAGCCCTCTCCTTGATTTTCTGTAACCCTACTCCAACAGTGACAAACCTGGCTTTCACCATCCACCGTCCATTTACTTAATTGTTCAAATTCCAGTGGCTCGGCACCTGTACAGAAGTCTGAGAATTTGTCACCCCTGCCCCGTGCTGAGCGGCAGTATCGGCTGGCGCCCGGTGAGAACGTGTGGCTCCTTTTGGCTTCGGTCTGGCCCACCCGCCGCCGCCTTCAGTGAGGGTGGCTCACGCCTTGGTAACACGGACCCCTGCTCCGGCCCCTGCACCCGTCCCGGCAGCCCCGACCTCCTACCGTGTCCTTATCGGCACACGTGGTGTGCACAAGGTGTCACAGCACCCGGTGACGGGGTTCACCGCCCGGCAAAATGCCCGCGCTTCACCTACTCACCCCCCCTGCTCCTTTCTTCCCCTCACGGTTTCCCTGCACAAACGCCAGCAAACGCAGACGCGTTCCGACCCCCTTTAGACCCCAAGACGCAGCATGACGCACATATCCCCGCACCTCAGTCTCCCCCCTCGCTGGGTCTCGGGGACCTTTCCCGGTCGGCTGCGGGGAGCTTCCCGTTCTGTGCTGCTGGCCGCTGGGTGCTGGCTGGAGCGACGTCAGTCCCACGCCCGGGCTATTCCCCAGGAGCAGCTGTTCTAAGGAGCCTGGACGCCCTGGCAGCCCCGCCATCTCCTTGGTGGGTGGCCGTGTGCCCCAGGGAATTCCGGAGGCGGGGCTGCCACTCAGGGCCGCGGTTTTGTTGGTGGCTCGCCTGCCCTCACACTGGTCCCAGGCACCGGCTGACCGAGGCCCGGTCTCGCTGAACCGGGAGGTGACCGAGTCCCTTGGGATCGTTTTGCACGCCTGGCTGGGGAGCTTGAGCATCATTTGCTCTGTCTTAACAGACAGGACCCGGTCCCACTGCTCTTCTGCGGGGTGCTCGGTCTTTCCTCTGGCGCGGCGTAGGGCCCGCATTGAGAGGGCCGGCTTCTCAGGCGCGCTTCGGCTAAAAACAGCCGCTGGCAGCGGGGCCCAGGCCTGGCCCGACTCAGCGACAGGTCAGCAGCAGGTTTGGTTGTTGGAAGTGAGAAGGGGCGCCTGGGTGGCTCAGCTGGTTAAGCATCCAACTCTCGATTTCGG